TGTGCTATGAGGTTCTAGCCAGTTGGTATCCATAAGTGGGCTAAAAAAAATTGGCTAAAATCTTTGAAGGAATCAGGCTAGTTCCCTAAGTCTAGGACACTATTTTACTTTCCTTGGGCAATTTCAACACACAAAAAAAGGGCCTATCTTTGAATCAATTACACAAAATATACCTTTCCTACTGTAGGGGAAAAACTGAGGCATGTATTCTTATCATCTTCTTGAGAGCAGCACATATTACTTTTAGAACCTCTTTGCACTGACAGAGGTACACTGATGTACATCTGACAGTATGAGTTAAGACTGAAGAACTGGACCTACCTACGCCCATTAACCTACATTTAGTATTTTTTTAAAACCCAGTAAACATTTACATACTTTCTTACTTTCAGATCTCTTGGCTGGAGTGCTAATAAAAAAAGAAAAACCTAAGGACAATTACGAAGCATAATCTAAGGCACCAAACCACCTTGATGAGAACTGGCAAGTTCTTAGAGTGAATAAATGAACGAAGGGACAGTTATAAGCAATACCAGAAGAGGATCTCAGGTACAGTTTAGCACATCACTGTAACTAGATTGTACCCAATGCTACAAAGAAACAGTATTGTTAGCAAAATTCTAATTTACTGATTCATCAAATACTTCAGAGTAGTAATAAGAGGTGGTTTTTTTTCTTTGCTTTAATGAATTCAAAGTGTTGAAACTTTCATATTTAAGTTACCCCACTATAATTATCTTCAAAGAGTGCTAAAAAAATGATTTCTAATGGTGATCATTTTATAGAGTATTAAAACACATATTTTAGGAAGGAGTTTCATTTCTCACTTTTTAGGATGAGCCATTCAGTGTACTTAAAAGACAAGTAGAATCAGTTAGTAATAGAGTCTTGGTTTCATACCTTTAAGTGAGCAGGAAATAGAAAATAGAGAATAAATAACAATTATTGATACTTTTACTATCACCACAGTCAAGAATTACAAGTGTGTTTATTTACTTGACTCTCAACTGATGAAGTGATGACAGTGGCGGGGGCGGGGGGGGGCGGGGAGAAAAGCCTTGAATTATAATATAAACATATTTTATGGTATTGAAAATTCTGTGCCTATCTCCATTATTATATGTAGAAAACAGGGAGTTTCAAATTTAATAGAAATATATCTAGTGCTTTTATTTAATTTTTCCAAAGAGAAATCTCCTATATTAAAGAAAAAAAGTCTGATTTTCTACATTAACACATTTTTCTGATGATTATAAATGGAAAAATTTGCCAAATTATTAGGAGTTTGGTGAAAATAACTCTGACTTTATTTGTAAATACCGAAAGAATATCTTTAAATTAAAAAATAGGGACAAGTATTCTACACATTCAATAGTTATTCTGTAATAATTCAGCTGCAAAAATACTGCCTACCTAATTTTCTTACAGCTATTTCAAACTATGTAATAGTCAAATACGGTGGACTTCCTTTAGGGTTTATAATCTGACATACACAGAATGGAGTACTTATAAATTACCACTATGAAACTCATTTTTAAGTCATCTTAACATTGTCTTCCTTGTCAATAAAGTGTTCATGTTTAAACTGTCATTGTGTTGATTAAATAATAATAAGCCACTAGTATAATACAACAATATAAAAATGGAGTTTCTACAGGCAGTTTTGGAACTAACCCCTTATTTACCCTAACACACCGTAAATTGTTCAGAGATTTTGATAACAAGGAAATTACAGTACGCTTTCACAGAATTTAAATACCCCAAACTCTAGTTCCTTTAAAATGTATTATCAAAAATGTAGCCCTGCTTTTATAACATAATGAAACAATGAAAATAACTTGCTATTTATCTTGTACATTTCCTATACTATGTAATTACATTTATATTAACAAGTATGATAAGGCTTATGTGTTGTGCTAGATATTTAACCATGTATTTAAATGTATAATCCCACAAACAAAAGTAAGTTACCTACAAAGTACAATTCCTCAGGGCCAGCTCTTTTCAAATTCTCTTTGTACTAACTCCCACTGCCTTTTTGCCTGTCAGTCTAATAAAAACAGGTAATTGTACATAATCATTTTTCACTTCCTATTTCTCTCTGGCTTAGTTCTAGATGCTCATGTGATATCACTACCACTGAACAGTCGGATCAACATATTAAGAATGAATAAATGGTCAATTATCAGGGGTTACCTTTATTATCTGCCTGCTATAGGCAGTTCTCAATTTTGTAAATACTATGGGCAAATTGTTCTATTACAATTTTATTGGAGCACAGAATCCATTCTTCTAAAGAAGGGATATTATCCTACGTAGTTTGTTTCACAAGCCAGATTTCAAATCCTTTCAAATCCTACATAGTCCAGTGCCATTTGTGCAAATAAGATTTTACCTTAATTTTTTAATAACTACCCTTTAAAAACTAAAAATAAAAGCATTTTGATGGAAATCTTTCAAAAGTATTATATATGTCCTCTTGTTTATTAAAAATATCTTGATCAGTATCAACATTAACAAAAAAGTTACTATAATCTGCTATCAATAAAAATATGCTAATACCTATTGCTTGAAATTAGAGATTTTACAGCAATTTGTACCCACACTCTTATAGACTGGATTTTTATAAAAGTTTTCCCATTATTTCCTTCATTGCTCTTATCACCTTTAAATGATTTCACTGTGCCTACACTGATCAGACCTCAGTCTAGAAAATTTGCTGCTCTACTTTAACGTAGACTAGCATACAAGCTACAAAACTGGACAGAAGACTGTTTTCAGTGGGGGGAAAGAGGCAGGAGGAGAGGGTGTAAGCTTTGAATAGAAAGATAAAGGGTTTTCCCAGTAAACAAAAAACAAAATCAACATTGTATAACTCTGTGAAACTTGTGTTCCTTCAGAGAGTCTCTATGTTCCAAATAACTGGGATTGCTGGATATTACTTTCTATCATAATGAACACAATTTTAATACCTTACATATAAGAAAACTCTAATTAAGATGCCAAGAGTACCAAAATTTATGAAAAAAAAAGAAAGATGCCAAGAATTAGGTGCTCTGTGTTAAGGCAGAGGAAAGTCCATACCCATTGTCAGCAGTTTTTTTGTATTCTATTTACTTGTAGAAACACAACTGTCCAGTTAAGAGATATCATTCATATATTTTATAGTTTATAACACACTTTCCAACACATCATTTTTAAAACACAAAATTAACCAAAATTGGTATATTACCCAAATAACTTTCTATCTTCTTTCCTTCCTTCCTTCCTTCGCCCCCCTTCCTCCCTTCTTTCCTATTATCTATATATGAAGAAAGAGAGAGAGAATGAGCACTATATGTTTTAACTTTCTTAATCTGTTGTTTTTATTTTGTTTGTTTTTCTAAAACTGAAGATCAACAGAAGACAAGCCACAGATTGAGAGGAAATATTTGCAAAAGACATATCTGATAAAGGACTGTTATCCAAAATATATTTAAAAAAACTCTTAAAGGGAATTCCCTGGCAGTCCAGTGGTTGGGATTACACGCTTCCACTACAGGGGGCACAGGTTCGATCCCTGGTCAGGGAACTGGGATCCTACAAGCCATGCAGCGTGGCCAAAAAAATAAAAATAAAAAACTCTTAAAGCTAAACAATAAGAAAACAACCCAATTACAAAAGGGGGCAAAAGACCAGAACAGACACCTCACCAATAAAGATACACAAATGGCAAGTAAGTATATTAAGAGGTGTTCAACATGATATGTCATTGGGGAATTGTAAATTAAAACAATGAGATATCACTATACACCTATTAGACTAGCCAAAATCTAAAACACTGACAATACTAAACGCTGGTGAGGTGTGAAGCAACAGTAACTCTCATTCATTGCCAGCGGGAATGCAAAATGGTACAGTCACTTTGGAAGACAGTTTGGCAGTTTCTTACAAAACTAAACACACTCTTACCATATGATCCAACAAATCATGCTCCTTGGTATTTTCCCAAATGAACTGAAAACTTATGTTCACACAAAGATGTTCACAGCAGCTTTATTCATAATTGCCAAAATTTGGAAGCAATCAAGAAATCGTTCAGTAGGTGAATGGATAAACTGTGGTACATCCAGACTATGGAATATTATTTAACACTAAAAAGAAATGAGCTATTAAGCCATGAAAAGACATGTAGGAAACTTAAGTGCATATTACTAAGTGAAAGAAAGCAATCTGAAAAGGTTACATTCTGTAGGATTACAACTGTGTGACATTCCAGAAGAGGCAAAACTGTAAGAAAATAAAAAGATCAGTGGTTGCCAGGGGTTAGATGGAGGGAAGAATAAGTAGGTGGAACACAAAGGATTTTTAGGTCAGTGAAACTATTCTGTATGATATTACAACGGTGAATAAGTGTCATTATAAATCTGTCAAAACCCACAGAATGTACAACAAGAGTAAACCCTAATGCAAACTGAGAACTTCGGGGGATAATGATGTATCAATGTGAGTTCATCTACTATAACGAATGTACCACCATGGTGGGGGATGTCAGGATAGCAATGGTTAGGGAAGTCTTGCACGTATGGAGATGGAGTATGATAATTCTGTGTACATTCTGCTCATTTTTGCTGAAAAAATAAAGTTTACTAATTAAAAAAAATTAAGGAACAATTATTGCCAAAGACCCAGACATTTAAACATTCTTGATATTATAAAATATTTCAAAATTTTGAAGGCTTAAAAAACAAGATTACATTTCAATTACATTTATTTTATGATGTATAAAAAAACCTGTAATACATATTCCTTCTGATGTCAATCTATATAAAAATGATATAGAGACTTAAATGTTGTTGAAATATTATAAAGTAGAAATCAACATTGGTAGGTAAAACCCTAACTCACTTTAATGAACAGGCTGAGACATGCACTGTATCTATCCAGTCTGGAGTTATGATAATACTTTTACGAATTTGGATCTAGTAACTAAAATGGGATAATAACATGTGAACATTTACCTTTGAGTCATAATTTTGAAGGCATCTGGGAGGTAGCAGTCTGTATTCTCCATCTGAAATGGGTCAGCATCACAAATCTTGTCGTCTGTCCGACCATAGTTAGCGCTCTCAATCATGATGACATCACTGCCGGGACATCGTAGATCTATAGAATAACCTTCACAGGATAATTCTCTACGAACTAACCCAAATGGTAAAGCTGCTCTGCTGAAACCTTAAAAAAGAAAAAAAAAATTAACTCATTTATGAAGTATATTATTTTAATAAGGCATTTTCAAGTAATATGAGTCATGTCTATATCCAAGAGATGTCACACAAAGTATGTTTTTCAAGCCATCATTCATACATTTATTCAATAATTCTCTGGATCTTTACTATGAATCACTAATGTATTATTAAAATTTTAATATATATCTTTAGCTGGATTATTCATCTTTATAAGACAACTTTAAATTACTTTAATAAAATATTTTCTGTATAACCTAGTCACAATCAGAAACTAAGTGGCCCTTTTTGAGTAAACCCAAAGAAAAATGAAGCATTTGATCAATGGATTTATAAAGAGTGACAAGATATACAAATACAGAATGCAACAATTAATAAAGGAACGGTTTTCATTTATAAATGAAATCAAAGCTCTGCTATACAGGACACTGGCCTTACCCATTTAATGTAGACATATTAATTGTTGTTAATAGAATTATCTTAAAAATACATTTGTCTTAGCATCTCCCAAAATAACTAAGACACTATGACAGTACCATACTTATGGCACAATAACTTATTTCAATTTGTAGACTCTTTACTGAAAATTGACATAAGTGAAAGGATTCAGCAGATGGGCATTCAAAGGAGCCAGCACTGCTCCAATCCAGTCCAAAAAGCTGAAACCCCCAAAAGGGGCAAAATTTCTGAGATTCAGTTTAGTCATTTACAAAATGGAGATGAAACATCTATGATGTTATTATTTTTCCTACCTGTGTGACTCTAAAATGAGATAATCTACAGAAAAGCACTTAATAGAAAGTGCCATATGAACTTAAGTATGGTGTATTAGGCAGAATGTAGATAACCACTGTTCATGAGTGCTATAAAAAGAGATTCCAAATAGAATAAGAAATTAGAATTTTAGGTTTTAATCACGGTTTTCAACCAGGGGTCCTCTAAAGTAGTAACAGAGCATAGAACAAAGGTAAAAGCAGAGAAAGCTAAGAACAGCCAAGAACAACTATGTGTGGGAGAAGCACATCTCTGTGTGCTGCTGTGCTACCTATGGGTTACCTACCGTATCAAAAACTTCTACACTGACCCAATTTTTTATTTCAGTTCTCTAACTTGTTGCCATCTATAGCGTTTCTTTTATAAAAGACTAGCATTAATTTCTGTATTTTTTCTTATCTCTATCCTTTTAATTACTCTGCATCACGAGTTATCCCTTATATCCCTTTTTACTGGAAAAAAAAAAAAATGACATTCAGAAGTAAACTGTTCCAAGACATAAGCTTCTAAGTTGAAGAGCTAGGTTCTGTCCAGGTCAATCCAATGCTAAAACTGTTCTCTTTAACTATTGCACAATGTCTCTCACTAATACAATAAAATAAACAGTCTCCTGGATAAACATGCATCTTCTTTCTAAAATGCAAATAATCCTGCAAAAGGATTAGTTAGTGGGTTGCACCTTGGTATGATTTAGAAAATCAGCAATTCTCAAACTTGGCTGAGTTCTCAGTTCTACTGAGAAAACTAAAAATGTACTTGGGATGGAGAGAGAAGAAAAGGACACAGCTTAGAGCACAGAAATCTTCAGGGGATTGAGGCAAACGCCAACCTTGGTAGGTTTTCACTAAGAAGATTTATGGTCTTACGAGATTACAAAAAGAGAAGCGCACTATCAATGAAGAAGGAATACAGAAACGGAGCTGGGCAATATCATGAAAAGCAGTAAAGGGGCCAACCTTTCAACCTTTTCCCAAGTTCATAAATAAACTTTTACATATGTTATTGCTTTCTTCCATTTGCCGATACTGTACTGCTTATACAAATAATTCAGCTTAAACTAGTATTATATTTGTTTTAAATGAAAATATGTTTTAGGGCTTCAGAAGCAGGCACATTTCTGTGGCAAAAAGCTGTGCGAAAATTCAAACAAGTGACATCATACAAAATTTTGGAGCACTGAATATTTTAAAGCCAGAGATGATTTGCAATTATAATACCTTGTAAATCATATTATTAGAGAATATTACAAATATGAGAAAATGTTATTATAAGACTGACTTGGAGCCAAAATTCACAAGTTGTAGTATTTGTCAAAAATATAGAATTGATTCTGAAGCACTGTGGTTTTTAACTGGAGCTCCTTAATTTTTGTTGTTGATAGTTTGCAGGATTATAGTTATGGTTCTAAGTGAATTTTCCTCTGCTTTTGAAAGATATTTGAGAAGTTGCAGAAGTCTTGCTGCTTTGATAATTCAGAGAAAGGATTTTTAAAGCCTTAATATTAGTCATCCAAAAAGGTAAAGTATGGAAAAAGAAAAGGAAAAAAAACAGAAAGATCAGCACACTTTACTAATGTAGTGGATTTCCAATATAGAATTTTCTGAAGAACAGATCATGGTACTTATGCTTTCATTGCATAGAACTGAATGAGTTCTTAATGGTGAATGTTGCTTTATTTAATGCTATATTGTTATTGCCTTAAATCATGTGCTGTCTTTCCAAAATTCTTGCTCTCTCACCTGTTTCCACTGAACTTTATACTTATGCATAAAATTTAAAAATCACTTGTTATTACCACATGGTGCTGTGGATATTCATTTTTAATATATCTTTCCTGCTAGACTCTGATGATAGTTAGTTATAATTCTAATGCCTAGATTGGTACATGATACATAATTCCAATAACTGCTATCAAACCAAATTGCCAAGTTGAACAACTAGTATCTGTTTAAAACAATATAAATTACAATACGTTTTCCTCTGTAATATCTATTTCCTTTGGCAGTGAAAACAAAGAGTGAGCATTAAGAAACAGATAAATACTTAATAATCAATAAAATTGTTATATCCTCAAAAAAAGAAAAAAAATGTTTAAATTCTGTCAATTTATTATTTTCTAGGTACCACTGGGGTTCATTAGTGCTTCTCACAAAGACATGTTTATGAACCTTGCTTTATTTAAATCCTGTGTTTCCAACTGGATATGGATATATATATATATATATATGTATGTATCCATATAAAACAAATATGAAAAAAAATAAAAAGTAAATATTGTAGTAGCTAACATTTACATAGCAATTACAACGTTTAGATACTGTCCAAACTGCTTTTTATGGATCACCCTTTTTATGATCACCAGTATCATCAACAACTATCAACACAACAAAAAACAATGGAGTAGTTAACTGTAACAATACCCATTTACAGAGTATGAAACTAAGGCATTAAATAGTATGTAATTCAGGGTCTCAAAGATTACTGTGAGTTAGATTCTAATGCATGCAGGGTTCTCAGATTCCAGAGCCCATGCTTTTAGTAATGGCCATGAACAGAAAGGGATTCTGTGACTTCTCAAGCCACCACGTTGGTAATACAAACAAGATTAATTTTATAATTTTTCATATCATCTGAAATTCACCAAAAAATGTTAGTGAATTTGACAGGAAACCATTTTTTAAAGGTTCACACAACATATAGATAATGATGAAAATTGTATTTGTGAAAATGTAGCGATGTGTGCCATAAACTTATTGAGAGCAAAATCTATACTGTGCAAGTGTGGACATACAGAAAGAGTACTGAACAGTACAGATGTCTGGGTCAGCCTTGTGAACTTGGCTAAGTCATTTTATTTTTCTGGGTTTTAATTTCTTTTTTTGAAGAATTATAGTCATTTCAAAGTCCTATCAAATTTCACCAATCTATGATTCTAAACAGGCAAGCTCCTTTTAATCAGGTATACATGCTATTCTAACATTTTCAAGTGGTCAACAATTAAGACATTTGTTGCTCTATTTCTTTAAAATATAAACATATGAGAATGTTAGCATGGATGGACTATGGCACAATAATGTACATTGTATGGTACTGCCAAGAAAATTCTCAAAAGTACATGGATGCATTAGTCAGGATTCATACAAATCACAAGCAGACATCTTTCTGGATTAACTATTTTAACCAAAGACTTACTGGAAGGGAGAAAATAAACACGGGCCAATTATTAAATCAAAAGAAAAACCTACATAAACTTTTTTTTTTTGGTTCCTAAGTTTTATTCAAGAACTCATACAAAATATTACAGATAATTGAGTTTTAATCCTCATCTTTCTTCTCTGCTTCATCTTGATTAATCTAGAAGTAACGCAATTCGTAACTCTTTGCTGTTAGTAACTATGCGTAACCAGTCACATAGATTATTCTTCTTCAAATATTTTTTTGGTGATATATTTCAAATACCTTTTGGAAAAAGGCACCTCAGAAGTCACAGTAATCTTGCTTTGCTTCTTTCGACTGTTACAATACCTCCACCAAGATTCCCAGCTTTTCCATTCACTTTGATTCTCTCCTGAAAAAACTGCTCAAGATTGGCTGCTCAAGATTGGCGGCATCCATGATTCCATCTTTTACAGGATGGGTACAGTCAAGAGTAAACTTCAGGACCTGCTTCTTTTTTTTTGCCCCCCTTCGCCACAAGCTTTATCACGGGCGCCATGGTAGCAGCGGATGGCAGAAAGCATAAAATTTTAAGAAAAATGTAAATTGTTATGCTTTCTTTGGCCACTTCCCCCCTATTTTCCTGAAAACTTCAAGGGGTATGGCTTCAAACTCTTCCACCAGCAATGGGACTTCAAAGAAGTTTGGAAAGTCTTAAATAAAATTATTGCAATTAATATTAATTTTTAAAATTCAACATTTTCACTAAGTAAATCTTATGAAAAGTCAGAACAAAACTTATTCTAAAAACACTTATTTAAATCACATTAATGACTTACTATACTGAGTCACAGGAAGAAATCATCACAGGTATCAGTACCATTTCTTAATTGCACTTTCTTCCTTTGTACACAAATTCATCCTTAATGTTTAATGGC